CATCAGCAGATAGACTGCCTAAAGCCAACCTGAGCAAATCAGTCTGTGCAATTATTGTGTCAACAAACTGAAAAATAAAAGCTATGTGATCATCTTAATAGAATGTTTTATAAAATTCAACGCCTATTTATGATAAAAACTCTCCAGAAAGTGGACTTAGAGGGACTATACCTCAACATAATAAAGGCCATATATAACAAACCCACTACTAACATCATACTCAATAGAGAAAAGCTGAATGCATTTCCTGTAGGATGAGGAGCAAGACAAAAACGCCCCCTCTCACCACTTTTATTCAACATAGTTCTGGACATCCTAGCCAACAGCAATCAGAAGAAGAAAAAGGAATCCAACTTGGAAAAGAAGTTAAACTGTCACTATTTGCAGATGAAATGATACTGTACACAAAAAACCCTAAAGATGTTATCAGAAAACTACTAGAGTTTATCGATGAATTTGGTAAGATTGCAGGAAACAAAACAGTATATTCTGTTGCATTTCTGTATACTAACAACAAAAGATCAGAAAGTGAAGGAAATAATCCCATTTACCATCACATCAAAGTGAATAAAATACCCAGGAATAAGCCTACCTAAAGAGGCAAAAGACTCTGAAAACTCTTAAGATGCTGATGAAAGAAATGAAGGTGACACAAACAGATGGAAAGATACACTGTGTTCTTGGATTGGAAGAATGAATATTATCAAAATGACTATATTACCCAAGGCAATCTACAGATTCAATGCAATTTCTATTACCAATGGCATTTTCCACAGAACTAGAATGAAAAAAATCTTAAAAATCAGTATGGAAACACAGAAGACCCCAGATAGCCAAAGCTATCCTGAGAAAGAAAAATGGATCTGGAGGAATCAGGTTCCCCAACTTCAGCTTATACTACAAAGTTACAGTCATGAGAATAGTATGTTACTGGCACAAAAGCAGAATTATAGATCAATGGAACAGGACAGAAAACCCAGAAATAAATCCATGCATCTATGGTAAATTAATCTATGACAAAGCAGGCAAGACTATACAATGGAGAAAAGACTTTAATAAGCGGTACTGGGAAAACTGGACAGCTACATATAAAAGAACAAAGACCTAAATGTAAGACCAAATACTATAAAACTCTTAGAGGAAAACATAGGCAGAACACTTTTTGACATAAATCACAGGAATATATTTTTGAATCTACCTCCTAGAATAATAAAAATGAAAATAAATGGGACCTAATTAAACTTAAAAGCTTTTGCAGAGCACAGGAAACCATCAATAAAATGAAAAGACAACCTACAGGATGGGAGAAAATATTTGCAAATGAAGTGATCGACAAGGGATTAGTTTCCAAAATATACAAACAGCTCATGCAGCTTATTATGGAAAAAACAACCAAATCAAAAGTGGGCAGAAGATCTAAATAGACATCTCTCCAAAGGAGACATACAGATGACCAACAGGCACAGGAAAAAATGCTCAACGTTGCTATTTATTAGGGAGATGCAAATCAGAACTACAATGAAGTATCAGCTCACACCAGTCAGAATGGTCATCATCAAAAGGTCTATAGTAAATGCTGGAGAGGGTGTGGAGAAAAGGGAACCCTCCTACATGCTTTGTGGGAATGTAACCCATGGAGTACAGTATGGAGGTTCCTCAGAAAACTAAAAATAGAGCTACCATATGATTCATCAATCCAACTCCAGGGAATATAGCCATAGAAAACCATAATTCCAAAAGACACGTGACCCCAATGTTCATCAAAGCACTATATACTGTGGCCAAGATGTGGAAGCAACATAAATGTCTGTTGGCAGAGAATTGGATAAAAAAGATGTGGTAATATATACAGCGGAATATTACTCAGACATTGAAAAGAATGAAATAATGCCATTTACAGCAATATGAATGGGCCTAGAGAATATTATCTCTAGTAAAATATTATTAGTAAAATAAGTGAAATAAGTCAGACAGACAAATGCTATATGATATCACTTACAAGTGGAATCTAAAAACATGATACAAATGAACTTATTTCCAAAACAAACTTATGGTTACCAAATGGGAAAGCTGGGGAGAAGAGATAAATTAAGAGTTTGTTATTCACATATTCATAGGACTATATATAAAATAATCAACAAGGACCTACTGTATAGCACAGGGAACTTTACTCAGTATTCTGTAATAATCTATAAGGGAAAGGAACTTGAAAAAGAATGGATATGTATCTATATCCATGTATACTCATATAACTGAGGGGCTTCCCTGGTGGCTTAGCGGTAAAGAATCTGCCTGCCAATGCAGGAAACACACGTTCGATCTCTGGGTCTGGAAGACCCCCTGGAGAAGGAAATGGCAACCCACCCCAGTATTCTTGCCTCTGAAATCCCATGGACAGAGGAACCTGGTGGGCATGGGGTGGCAGAACAGTTGGATACCACTTATCAACTAAACAACAACAGCGTGTGACTGAACCACTGTGCTGAACACCCGAAACTAACAAACACTGTAAATCAACTATAATGTAAAAATTCAACTTAAAAAGTAATTACAGATAATATGTAGGTAAATGGGTACTGCTGTCTTCCAACAGAATGATTTTCACAGCCAGGCAGTGGACTGGCTTTGGGTCTGATGCCAGTAGTGTGTTAACTCCTCACCTGCATAGGTTGGTTACTTCGATGCATAACTTTGTGAATATTCATTGATACATACACTTTTGATTTATATGCCTTTCTCACTTTATATTCTACTTCGATGAAAACATTTTAAAAAATATAACAAAGGCAGGGAAGTCATTAAGAAAATAACAAAAAACAAGAACAGAAGCCAGCAGTTAGTATTCACTAGTCTTCCTGTGATACTTCAGAGATTTGTTTCTTGCTGCAAAGCTACTGTAGTGTTTGGAGCACTACCAGTTCTAACCCCATAACAGCTTCTTTTCAAGCACTCTATATACCAACATTACTGTTCATTTCCTTCTTTATGGGAGAAGAACCCATTAAGAGACCTTCAAGTGGTTAGTTCTCTTAATGAATTCATTTTATTAAGTTTTATTATTAATGCCCAAATTGATTTCTTCTCCAAGTTATACCATTATGCCATTCTATAATTGAAACTCCGAAAACACCAGTGGATACGTAGGACATAAGCGATCTGAGAAACATTAAGCATCAATTCTACCACTCCTTTAATTTTCAGATTTGCCCAGAAACAACTGCTTCTTTCAGAATTAATGCATCTTGCCCATCTCTTACTCCCACCTCCACCCCAGTGTCTCTGAGCTTAAACATAATTAGGGAAAAAACCAAAACAACAAGAAAATCTATCCACACTCATTGTATCTGCTAAGATGTTTTGTTAAGTTTTTCTCCCCTGGGAGATATAAAGACTGGAAAAATAATAATAATGACACAGTTAGCACACATCCAGCACATCCTCTGAGCCCTGCCCATGCGTTAATTTATTTAGTCCACACAAAGATGCACTCAAGTGGTTACTCTTTTTATCCCCAAGATAGAGAAGAGGAAGGTGGGACAAAGACAGTAAGCAATTGCCCAAGGTTTCAGAGTTAGTAAGTGAGGGGCTGGCATTTGAACTCAAGTAGAAGACTCTTGAGAGCAAGGAGATCAAACCGGTCAGTCCTAAAGGAAATCAACCGTGAATATTCAGCGGAAGGACTGATGCTAAAGCTCCAACACTTTGGCCATCTGGTGCAAAGAGCTGACTCATTGGAAAAGAGCCTGATGCTGCGAAAGCTCAAAGGCAAAAGAAGAAGAGGGCAGCAGAGGATGAGATGGTTAGACAGCATCCCTCAATGGACATGAATTTGAACAAACTCTGGGACACAGTGGAGGACAGAGAAGCCTTGCAGGCTGCATTTCATGGCGTTGCAAAGAGTAGGACATGACTCAGGGACTCAACAACAACTGTAATCTGTTTCTGAAGATGGTGCTCTCAGATACACGCTAAAATAAACAGCATTGATTTGATTATAGAGAAATGAGATTCCTTCAGTGGAAGTGTAGCATTAAGCTCTTACATTCCCAGCTTCCTGCAACCCTCTCCAAGAGAAATGACTGTCCATTCTACCTGCTAGTGACTCATCCTGTAGCATCTCCGCTACTTTACTGCACTTACATTTCACATCTCTGACTTCCCATCACTGAGCACTCTTTGAGAGCTGCGACTGTGCCTGATTCCTTCCTGTATCTCTAGTGCCAAACATAAGCTCTGGACATAACATGGTTCAAAAGATGTCTGCTGGATACAAACTACTATATATAAAATAAACCATAAGGTCCTACTATATAGCACAGGGAACTATAGTAAATGTCTGGTAGGAAAAGAATATGAAAAAGAATATCTATTCTTTTATATATATATATATATATATATATATATATATATATATATGCATAACTGAGTCCCTTTGTTTTACACCTGAAACTAACACAACACTGTAAATCAACTATACTTCAATTAAAAAAAAAAAGATGTGTGCTGATGAATCAATCAATCATACCATGAGTGATCACTGCTTTCTCTTTGGTTCTCCAGGTTTTCAGCTCTTTATCTTCTGGTGATTTATTGCAAGGGACAGGACACAATGTCATGAAGAATGTGAAGTGACTTGGCACTATTTCTATCAATAAAGTTTCTTAATGCAAGATACCCTTCCTCTGCATTTAGCTCAAGAATCCCTCCACACCGTTAGCCTGAACAATAATGGTATATGTCTAGTTAAATGCGGCTAGAGAGCTAGAATTCGCATTTATAATGAATAGGATAAAACAGAAAACAAGGTCCTAATCTAGAGCACAGGGAATTATATGCAATATCCTATGCTCAACCATAATGGAAAAGAATATGAAAAAGAATATACATATGTATAACTGAGTTATACATGTGTATAACTACTTTGCTGTAAAACAGAAATTAATACAACATTGTCAATGAACTAAAATTCAATAAAATTTTAAAAATAGAATAAAATAGACTATCTTCATACTCATTTCTAAGTATTCATCAAAGAGCCCATAGGCGTTCATCGGCTGAAGGTTGTAGTCCTTTTCCCATTGTGGGAAACTTATTTTCCTTTCAGGCCCACGTTCTTGTCGTACTTTTCTTCTAGTCCACCAATTCTGAATTAACCTGCACAACAAAATCAATTTATCAAAAAAATATATACACATATATAACTGATTGTAAGACTTAAGTAATAAGAAGTAGAGTTAAAATACAGAGCAATGGTTTTAAAAAAATTAGGACAGGCTGCCTAGGAGCTAAAGCCTTGGATTAGGAAGGAAGTAACAGGGGAGGCTATACTTCAAGCACTTGTACTTGCAAGTGAACAGAATGATTGATGAACTTAATCATTCACAAAACTGTCTCCTATTCAGTGTTGCCTTGGAGGGTTGGTTAGAGGACTGAGAATGTTGATAAACTCATCCTCCAGTGTAAAGGCAACACTCAGACCTCTGAGGCAAAGAGGGTTTGGCCTTGCTGGCTTACTTAAAGAGCCGTGAGCAGTCTTACCACAGGGTGCTGACCTACAAACTCTGATTTGAGGATCCTAGAAGGTCTGAAAACCCACAAAGGCTTCCTCCTCTCCTGGCATATGGAAGCCTGCAGGTCTACAACTGGACTTGTCTGCTTTTGGCTTGAACTCAATGGGGGCTCTGATTCCTAGTAAGATGCAGCTCACACTGGTGGGGTTAGTACATTTAACCTTAGCAGTGTTCAGAAGTGCATCTTATGATATGGAATGGAGTTGGAGAAATGCATGGGGAGAGTCAGGTCTGTATGCTATAGCAGGCAAGCAGAAAGTTGAGGGGTATCTGAGAGCATCAATGCCAAAACAAAAATGTGAAATTAAATAAGAAATGGGTATCAAAGATAATTCTGCCTAATTCACAATATTGTTCTATGTCCATATTCATAGAAGATAAACATAGTTCCTTTGATGTCTATGACATTTTGATAAGTTATGGATCATACTTTAAAGGAGAATATGCTTCTAAGTTTTTTAAACTTTATGCTTTGTCTTTTTAAAAGTTTTATAGAAAACATGAAACTCTTGGAAAAAGTTTTCTAAAGTAAAACTGAGGAGAGAAAATTACTGGCATTGGTTCTTACAGGGAGCTAAGAGATGACTTTCCAAAGTGAACTAAGTTCCAGCTAATTGTTCTGGCTGAGTGGTCCTCCCTGAGACCTAGAATTCTCTATGGGGACATTGGGCTGACATGGAAACCCATAAGTGTAGAATTAAAGCAGAAATAGCACTGCTGTTGATTTATGTCCCTTTCAAACTTAGCTGACCACAACTGAGTAAACACAGCCAAATTCAAGGTTATCCTTACAAAACTGATGCAAATTTTTGCCCATTGCCATCAACATAAACAGTTAATAGTGATAATAACAGTTTTAACTGGTTAAGATATGCTGACTTAGAAATAATCCAATTTCTTTTTAAAATCCTATTTTTAGGGGGAGGGTCTTCCTTTTCTACATAGTCTCAATTTAAAGTAGTTAAAAAATGACCATTTGTGATTTATTGCAGGGGCTGGGGAGTAGGCACAGAGATCCAGTTAATGTGTCAACATTTAAAGCAGCTTGGAAGTAGATATCCAATATTTAGGGGTCCACAGAGACTTCTTAAAGAATATTCACTTCTGTTCATGCAATTTGTGCTAAATCTTCAGAAAGGGCCATGTTTATTACTTTCATCATTTGTCTCTGACTATTTAAGCATGAAGACTAGCTCCAGGTATAATATGCATGGGCCTAATTGCTGAGTCTGCATTGCTTATCTTACTTGCCACACCTAGAAAAGCCAGTAGATAAGCCAATAGCCAAGAGACATGCTGCCTCTCAAGTAGATATCTAAGGTACTTACGGGTAGCCAAGTTCCATGAAATTATTCCAGGTCTGCTTTAGCACCATTATAATACCCATTTGCATACAGAGATCAATAAGGCATCCACTAGGGTGGCACTGCGAGGTAAGCAAACACAGAAATTCAAGAATCAATGGATGGGAAGAAAGGCTGTCTGCTTTCTAATCTGCACAAAGCTGCCCTCAGGCTGTTTAGTGTAAGTCTAGGAAACCAGGAGTGACGGGAGAATACCGACCTCTTCTAGTCTCCACCTGTTTATCAGCCTCAGGTAGGCACCTGGGTGTCCTGTGAATCTTCAACACACACAGAAAAACAAACCATTAGCATCCTGTAGCTGTCAATGAAGATTATATTCAGATTAGCACATCCTCCAGTGAAAATTATGGTATAGTAAGGAACAGGTCTGAGGGAATTAGGAAAATTCCCCAGGAATGACATAATGGCAACTTCTGGAATTCTCTGGGGGTATTTCTCTTCTGGCCCTTCTGCCTGGCTGCTGGCCACAGAGGCCAGTTTTTGCTGCATGCTGTGACTTTTAACCATTTTCTGCTTAATTTCAAGTGCTTGTTGTGTAAGCAGCAGGTTGGGTACAGCTTATCTTTTGGAATATTAATAATGCTTTCTTTTAGAGAAAACTATTTGACTAGAATTCCATGAAGGACCTAGAAACCGCAGAGAGGCTGCCCATCCTGTTCACCAAAACCCTGCACCTGGCTCTCTCCTGGTTCTCGTCTCCTCAGACATAATTCATGGTGATGGGATTCATGGGACACGGCCACTCCAGATCCTTAGAACCGCTGGATTCAGAAGTAGCCCAGCCTCCCTCGGCATCCTGCGTTAGCCCCGCTTCCCATGTGAATGTCCTTCCCTCCTCTGTGCGGTCAGGGACATGGGACGTGCTCCGCGCCGTCCTCCACGACGTCACCTGCTCTTACAGGTGCGAGACCCAGGGGCCTGATCCAGATACCGATGGAGCCTGCGAGATTTACACTCACCCTTCACATGTGCAAACTACTTTTTCCTACTCACCTTAGCAAGAAGAGGTACCAGGGACTCTGGCAGAGAACACCCCGGGAATGGGAAGGGAAGGGAAAGGAGACTGATCTCTTTTTATACTTCACAAGGTCACTCTAAAGGCTGGCTTCTCGGTCACCCCTGGTCAGCAAGCTTTGCGAGCTCTGCTCCTAGCCCCAGGAGGTGCGGAGAGACAGGGTCTTACCTCCCGAGGAAGAACGCGATGTAAAACGTGGAGCTGTTCAGATTGACGAACTGAAAAAGAAACATTTTCAGGGTGAAGCTGTTCTCCCACTCGGACTCTGTGCGAGGCTGTTCTGTGGACACAAGGCGGGCAGAGTTTGAGAGAGGCTGCGTCTGACCCCCTCCCGGCTCCCTCTGTCACCCTCCAGACACACAGGGTGGGTGCACAGGCGTTCTAAGGAGGCTGCAGCAGGCCAGCTGGCCGCTAGATGGTATGTGATGGAATGCACCATCCGTGGGATCCTCAAGCTCCCAGCCCAGCCCCAACAAGGGTTTGGTGGGAAGTGGCTACACTTGTCTGACGGAGGGGATATCTGGTTTGTTCCTCTGTTCTAGGGTGCCCCGAGAGCCTGGGTCAGACACAGCCAGGCTGAAGGCACCGAGAGCCTGGGTCAGACACAGCCAGGCTGAAGGCACCACATGCCCAGCCCTGGCTCCTTGCAGGAGCCTTTCTTTTTGCTCTTAGGACCCACCTCATAGGTGGAAATGGTGTGGGGTCAGGTGCCCTCCCAGCTTCTAATAACTCCCTGGTCTTGACTTCTATTTCTGCTGTGATGTGACGTGCTGCTGGACTAGAAGGAGTCAGACCCCATCTCAGAATGAGCATCTGATCCCTTTACCTGCCCCTCGCATCCAGCATCATTTTCAATCTCAAGTACAAATACCCAGATGACTTCACCTCTAGAGCTTTTACACTAGCATCTTTGTCTTACAATTTCCTGACCTCAGTCAGGTACCAATTTTCATCTCCTCATATTTCAACTTCCATACAGCAAATGCTCTTTGGACACTGTGATACAGCCAAAAATATGGCTCAGTCCTCCAACCTGAAACCTCATGTCAAATGCACTTATCCTTCACTAGGACTTCCATCCTCACCTCAAACAACATCAAAGAAAATGCATTTAATGCAACAGTACTTTCTGTTTCTACGTAGATGCCCTGAGCTTCTAGTTGCTCATTTACCACCTCACTCCATCAATTCCTTTCCCACAAATGATAACTCAAAATGCCTCCCAGGAGCATATCTGAGAAGGGAGGGGAGAGACAAAGCAAATCTGATTTAAAATGGTTTAAATGTCAAATTCAGAACAAGGCTGTACTCCTGTGGAGGGAAGAGATGACAAAGGCTGCCTTAGGGCTCTAGCTTCATTTCATTTCTGCTACTTAACTCTTGGTTACACAGGAAGGTCTCCTGGGTCATCAGCCAACCGGTGGTTGCCCAGATGGACCAGGCTGACCAGGGCCAGATCTCCATCAGCACCTTTTCCAGCTAGCATCAAGTTGCCCCTGGACAAAGACTTTATCAATGGGCAGTCGTCTCTTCTGTGGACATGAACTTTTATCTTTTGGGGCAAAGAGTGGTGGTGATGGAAGATTTCTGTGACTTTACAGGAGATATGCCAGGTGCCTATCTCTGTATCTAGCACATATAAGGGCTAAATAAACAGCATCTTTCATTATAATGATTATTATAAATAAAAACACTTCTGTGTTTTTCCCCTTTTGGAAAAGCTACATATGGGAATGCACTAAAACAGGTTCTGTGTGGGAGCACATAATTTTCTCAGACTGCACAGAGTAAAATGACTAATATCTCATTAATGAAATTGGGACAATTCCTCTGTCTTGAAAATGTAGTGATTGCACAGCTTATAGCTGGTTACCAGATTGCTCTGGTGCTTTACAGAGTCTTACGGGTAACTGTCCAGATAAATATTTCTGCAAATGTCTGTGATAGTCTGCCTGTATTCCTGGTAAAAGACTCCTAGTCTTCAAAGCAACTAACTTTGCTATGATTTTATATGCCATGAAGACTGGCTGTTTTTAATTAAATAAAAATTGTAGGCCATAGCAAATGACCTCTTTTCTAAATGATTATAGGTACTTCATACACATGCATTTTTGTGGTGTTATAGTTTTGGGGCATTAAGAGAAAATCTACTTTAAATTATATTAGCTCATTAAAGGATAGTATTTGTGGGAGGTTTTAAAACTTTAGGTAGGGAAGATTCTCCCAGCTGTTAGGCATAGTTAACATGTCCTGTTGAGGGCAAAGAATTGTACACAATTGTACGCAATTCAAAATAAAGGGAGTGCTTCTTTTCAGCAGTGTTTCAGATTTGACTCTTTGAGAAGGCATTTTTCAGACCACAGTACTATATCATGAAATTAAAAGGGTTCTACTCACCTAAATTTGTCAGAAGAAGAGCAACCTTTTCATAGAGCTGTAAAATAAATTTCCTACATTTAACAAACTGTAGATGGCCTAAAATAGGTAATTATGAAGCAAATGGGTAATCAAGTCATGAATGAAAATAATTATCATCCCCCTGTTCAAACAAGGAAAACACTGTCTACAATTATGTCTTTTCAGGGCAAGAAAAAAATGTCCAAGGTCCCATTTTACTGTTTTCGAAATCTCACTTTTTGATTTGGGATGAATAATTCTGTGACAACAAGCCAGCTGACACTAATTAGTAACTTGCTAAGTGATGCTGGGTAAGTTGTAATATTCCTGGGACTCAGCATCCTCAGGGTAAAATCTCTAAGACTGCTTCTGAAAAGACTCTGTAATCCCATTGTTTTTACCAGCTGTTGTATTTTCTAGATTATAGCATTCATAAATAATAAAGTGATGAAACATTATTAGGAACTGCCAAACTTATGGTACTCTGCTTTTCCATTCATTAATTAGGTGCATCCCTAACTCACCTAACCATCTGGTAAACAGATGGACCGATGGAAGAGGAGTGTGCCCATGTGTTTGTGTGTGTGTATGTATGGAAGTGCAGGGGTTAGAGTTAAGGGCAAACCCTCCGACTGAAGTGACTTAGCAGCAGCAGTAGATCCTCTAAGAGGTTCCCTAGGAGGGCATACATTGAAAGAAAAAAGAGCAAGTTCTTCCTCTAAAATGAAACATAATAAATGAAGAGGAAAAAGAAAACTAGTCAAATGGATTTGAAAAATATGGAAATGAAGATCATGTTTAAAGTAGTAAAATCACAGTGGGTAAAATTCCCCAGGTTGGAATTATAGCTTTACCAGCCAGCAAGCTGTAGGTCTTAGGCATATTACCTCACTTTTTCTTAATATCATCATTTTCCTTACATGTGGTTGAGACTCACTCATTGTGAGGTCCTTACTAACTTTTGAGCTCTTACCCCAGATTTCTGGGCTAACTATGTAAAGTCAAAATACTCAGATTGTATGACCTTAAACTTTCAGCAGTAATTATGGTTTGTTATAGTAATATACAATTCAAATGGCCATAGTAACAAATTTTATGTATAGAAACCTCAGAGTCTGTAAGAGACCAGCATTAAAAGAGATTGGTACGAAGTCTTGTGCTATAGATGAGTCACACATCTCAACTGTATCATCAGTATAAAATACTGGTTAACATATTAGGACAGATATATTTGATGTTAATCAAATATATTTTAATATTACAAAAATATTATATCATTAAAGTTAATTATCAAGGAAAATTACATTTAACTGGTGAGACAACCTTTCTCAAAAATATGATGATACATGTAAGCTTCAGTGTGTGGACTTTGTCATCCATTTCGGTGCCTCAGAAACCCTTTATTAAAAATGCAAAACACCGATCTGTCTAGGCTGCTAGCCACAGCAGGTGCTATGTACTGTCCCTAATTATATACTATTTCACCTCCCCTCCTGCTTCATTTTTACTTCATTTTTTCTTTTCTTGGCTGTGTTCCATGAAGTAGAGATTGTTGGATACACGATTTTAAGTTAAATGAATTATTACTCTGACAGCATTGGCACCTGGTCAAAATGTATAATCAAGTGTGTGTTTATAGACCCAAGGCATGTATGCAGAAATTTATTTCTTAAGATGAATATATTAAATTTTAGTAAGACATTGGAGAAAAGAGATGATAAAAATACGGTAAATTTTAATTCACCACATGCTACCTGGATGCAGAATCTTTCAGTGCTCTGGCTGTTTGGTCCATTTCACTATGAATCACTCCCCTTTCCAAAGATTATTCCACAATTAACTTTAAGACCAGCTGAACTGGGATGGGGCAGCGCTAGTGAGTGGCAGACACCCACTTTCAGTCTTCACTGGACCAAACAGTTACACGGCCATCACGTCAAAATGATCAGAAAGTGCTGCTTTTCCTACCTTCTGGATTTTTAAACCTTTTTCCTAAAATAATAAACTTCCTGTGTATATATAATAATAATAGTAAATTACCTATACTTCATTATCTCAGTGATCTCAGCACTATGGCCCAGATTTAAGTTGCAGTGTAAATAAGAGAGAGGAGAACTATAATTGAACACATATTCCATGCCAAACACTCTACATGGCACTCTACAAATATTTATTCTCTCCTACAAACCTCAAGTCTAACAATGTCAGTCATTACCTTTTGTTCTGTAATTAGTAACAACAGTTTACGGAGTGCCTACTATGAGCTGGAGCCTGTTTTGGACCTGGGAAATAACAAAAGAGGGAAGAAAAATGGCAGAAGTTTCTGCCTTCTTGGGGCTACACTGAAATGGAGAATATAGATAATAAATACAATAAATGTTTAAAAATAGTCCATTAGATGGTGATTAATGCCATAGAGGGCTTTCCAGGTGGCACTAATGGTAAAAAAAAAAAAAAAACCCGCCTGCCAATGGAGGAGACCTAAGAGATGCAGTTTCGATCCCTAGGTTGGGAAGATCCCCTGGAAGAGGGCATGGCAACCCTCTCCAGTATTCTTGCTTGGAGAATCCCATGGACAGAGGAGCCTGGCAAGCTACAGTCCATAAGGCTGTAAAGATTCGGACATGACTGAGGCAACTTAGCATAGCACAATGCCATAGAGAAAAATGAAGTGGGCGAGGAGCTAGGCAATGGTCAGAAAGCAGGAGTGGGCTGCAATTTTACATGGAGTGACCAGGGAAGGCTTCTGTTAGAAAAGTAACCTTTGAACAAAGACCTGAAGGTGGTGCGGGAGTAAAGGGAAGAAGGTCCTAGGTGGAGGGAAGAGCAAGTCCAAAGTTCCGGGTGAGAGCATGCCTCACATCCGAGAAGCCAAAGGAAGGCCAGGGAGGGGCAAGGGAGTCAGGGTGGGAAGGGGGAGACAGGGTCAGAGACCTCACTGGGGCCAGACGGGGGGGACGCCAGCAGCCCTGTGAAGGCCTGAGCTTTGAGGGAGAGGAAAGACACTGGACACAGTGAGCGGGGCGGGCTCACTCATGTGAGGCTTACTCAGGCTGCTGTGATGAGCCTGGGTTGAGGGTAGCAGACATGGAAGCTGGGAGACCAGTGGGGAAGGCACCGCAATAGCCCAGGTGAGAGATCCTGAGGACTAGGACCAAGGTGGGACTTGGGGTGTGTGAAAGGTGGTCAGACTCTGGATACATTTTCATGGTGAGGGAAATAGAGGAGTCAAGGAGAAAAGGTTTTCAGCCTGGGCAGCTATGATGCGGAGACCATGGGAGAAGCTGATTCTGGAAAGAAGATGGGAGTAAGGTGGTTGAATGTGTTAGGTGAGGAGGAGTCTGGGGTTCAAGGGAGACAGCTGGGCTGGAAAACACACTTGAACAAAGCCTGAAATCCTCACAAGCAACATGTACCGCCCTGGAAGATTCCTTACTGAGTTATCTCTAGGAGTGCTTTGGATACAGATTAACTTCCCATCATTCAGAATCAAAAAAGAAATGGGAACCAACACTGTTGAGCTATGTCAGATTCTGAGCTGGGCCTTAAAATATATTTTTTCTCTTTGCCACCCCATGGACTAAACAGTCGATGGAATTTTCCAGGCCAGAATACTGGAGCGGGTACCCTTTCCCATCTCCAGGGGATCTTCCCAACCCAGGGATCAAACCCAGGTCTCCTGCATTACAGTGGATTCTTTACCAGCTGAGCACAAGGGAAGCCCAAGAACACTGGAGTGGGTGGCCTATCCCTTCTCCAGCCGATCTTCCCGACCCAGGGATGGAATCGGGGTCTCCTGCATTGCAAGCGGATTCTTTACTAACTGAGCTATCAGGGAAGCCCCCCCNCCCCCCCCCCCCCCACTTTTTGTCTCTAAACTTCCCCAAGGGATTTATAGTGTTATCTTATTGGATACATAAAGTAACTGAGGTTTAGAGAGGGCAAATGCCTTGCTCAATCTTATACTGTCGGAAATGCTACAGGCCAGATTTGACTCAAACCTTCTATATCCCCATAAAAGTACACCTCATGCCAGGCCACAGGTGTCACGTAACTGACCAATCTCTGAGGCCAGGTCCCTTTAGAAACAGAAGACATACTCACCTGCAGCACACACAGTTTATCCACATGACTAGTTACCTTGAGGCTCACTTACCACGTTCAGCAGCATAATGATGCAGAAATTGATGCACACGGCAGTTCCTGTGGTTGCAACCTGAGAATTATTCCTGATTAACGCCCACTTAAAGGCTGCGAAAGTGCTGACGGTCACCACCCTGTAAATGACGATCCCGAACACAGCGGCGATCACCACGCAGATCTGGCAGGAAGACAGAGGACACCCAGTGAGCACAGTGGTGGAATGTTTCAGGGAGGGGCTCCCACCCCCGAGAAAATCCTCCAACAGGAAAGGGAGATGCGGTCATGGTGGTTCTGACTTGAGACACCATAACAAAAGGCACACTTTTTGTGTGGTTGATACTTCCTCTCATCTGTTTGTATGTTCTTTGTTATCCAAATAGAAAAACCACGGTACTTGAGAGTTGATACACGGTTAGGCTACAGAATGACACTTTTAAAATCAGAATATTAGATTAAGCAAATGAACAAATATTATGGAAATCTAATCATGTTGCTCTTCTGTTTAAAGCTATTTCTTGGTTTCCTTTTACTCTTAGGATAAAAGCAAAGCCCTTACTGGCCTGAAGAGTCTCTCCAGCCCCACTGTTTTTCTACTGTTTTTCTACTCCCTCCAAAGACTCTAGACCTTTCCTTATTGTTTCAAATAGGCTAAGCACCCTTAATTTTCCTTTGCCCAAAACAATGACCCGCTCATTCCCCTGCCAAAGACATGACACACCCACATGCACACCCATAGTCTACTTAATACCTATTCATTCTTCACATCTCAGCTCAAGAACTACTTCATAATTAATGCTTTTCATGCCCCACCCCCTCCAACTCCTCAGGCTTTTTGTTGTCGTTATATGACACCAATTGCTTCCCAGACGGCCCAACGGAGGAGACAGAAGAGACATGGGTCTGATCCCTGGTTTGGGAAGATCCCGTGGAGGAGGGTATGGCAACCCAGTCCAGTTGCCTGGAGAATCCTATGGACAGAGGAGCCTGGTGGGCTACAGTCCATAGGGTTGCAAAGAGTCAGACATGACTGCGTGATTGAGCATGCACTTGGTACCTATGTTCTTTCAGTATGCAGCTTATTTGTTGTTATTCAGTTGCTAAACTTCTAATTTCTAACAACTGTCTGCTTATCATCAGTTTCCCCCACTTAGACAGTAAGCTCTACCAAAGTAGGGATGGTGACTGTTGTTTCTGCAGTTCATGGTTTCTGCAACATCTTAGCATCATGCCAGGTGCTCAGTTATTTGTTGCTGAATAAGCCTATGAAAAGTACATACTCTTATTTATCATATAGATACACAGACTGAACTGAGGCATCTTCCTCTGAACACTTGACGGTGTTTGAGAAGAATATAGCATATCTCTATCACTGTGAATAATGGGGATTTGAGATCCCAAAACGTTCTTTGGCTTTCATTAGATGACTCGCTTACTGTGTCTTAGAGCAGAGACCTTACCTTGGCTGTCAAAAACTAGATCTTAAACTGGGGCCTCAGGATGTGCTCTGGCAACTTAGAGCTTCCTTTCTTCAGAGGAGCTGTCCTATGTTTCACATAGACTCTGTCTTTGGTATACTGTGAGAGACATGCTCTAGAAGCCCAGGTATAAAACCTAGCTGAACTGGCGAAAAATAGTAATAGTAGAAAACAAACAAAAAACCGCCCATGTCTGAATCCTGGAGCTGTTGATAGGGACACAGGTGAGACCTACACTGAATTTTAGACAAGGGTGGCAATATGCTGCAATGGACAGTTCACTGTACTCAGTCATAAGTCAGGGCTGAGTCCTGGTTCAGCTACAACCTGGCAGTGTGACCGTGAGCAAGTAGCATGTCCTCTCCATGGCTTCAGCCTCTAAATGTCTTATTGTGAGAAACACAACCCAAAACAATATATGTAAATGTACTTACAGGACGCAAAGCCTGACACCACTGCTTACAAAGCAGAGTCTGTAGAAAGGGCAGGATCTGAGTCTTGAGCCAAGCTGAGGGACACTTGGGCAATCTGCCTACCGCTCCATCTCCCCAGTTTCCTCCCAGCTACAGCAGGGACATTGTCTGAATTTTCTGTTGTTTTGTCCTTCCCATTCGAACCAATTAGGATATATATTTATGTACATGTGCTCTTTGAAAAGAAGAAAAAGGAGGATCCTAACCATTCCTTCCTGCTCTAAAATGACATTTCTGACAAATTGCATATGTGTGGTTCAGTAACTGACAGGGTCAAAGTGGATCACAAAATGACTTCTTTTTAGCAAAAGCTAACAATTCAGCTTCAGATTAGTGTTTTGAAAATGGATATAACCATCAGCAAAATAAGTGTTAGGGAGTTAGAGTTGGCATTAAAAAACAGGCTAATAAAAAAATCAGAGCTCCTTGAATATTATAAAGATGGGCATTGTTTCAATTACTATTTTCAGTTTTATACATATATTTGCATAGCATATACTGGGTTATGGCAAAGAATATATTTCTTATTATATGGGCATTGTAAAAAATAAAGCTTGAACGATATTGCTGTAAGTTCCATCTCACAGTCTTAGTTCCTTTCATTATGGTATAGACAAATGGAAAGAACAGTAGTTAGAGAACCTGAGCTTTTGGCTATTTCCTGGCTAACCTGGGTGAGCCGCTTAACCTTCTGGAGTCTCAGTTACTCCACCTGTAAAATGGAACAGCAGTGTCATCCCTGATCATCATATAGAACTGTTGTGAGGTCTAAATATCAGAACATGCAAAAAATGTATTTAAATACCTGATATGATTATTGTTGTTCCCACACTATAGGTTTGTACTTTATGAAACACAGTTGTGTTAAAAAAAAAAAAAGGTTCATACCATAAAAAATATTCCAGATGCAGAAACAATAAGTCGGCTGCATTTATCTGCAAATGCTTGATATGGTTCTGGCTTGCCTGAAATGGGATTCATCCGTTCTTTCTTGGAATACTTGGCTTCAAACTGGGGCCGTATTTCTTCCTAAAGAACAAGCAGACACATTTTCACATACTGAAGAGGTACTCAGACAAGAAGGAAAAAAAAATCGTTTTACCCCACAGGAAAACAGTCAACAAAGGCCACAGTCATCACTCACTCAATGATATACACTTGGAAGTCCAGGTTTAAATGTCTGGAAACTGGCCACTTATTAAAGACAATCTAAAGAATGGTGAGCTTCAATCATTATCATCATGGCTCTGTGATTTAGACTAATGGTTAAGTATCTCTATTATCTTATTAGATGATCCTTGAAGAGAGAAACTGATGGTGAGAACGGGACCAATTTGCCCCTGTCCCCAGTGGTTTGAAATAACTCACAAGCTTTTATTTATTACTGAGGAATGATATGAACACCAGGACAAAGACAACTTCTCAAGGGCGAAATGTTCAGAATTCATTTTATGAGTTATAATGGCAATATAATTCTTAGTTTTCTACCATTTTTAGTTTTTTGATTTAGGCAGCTAAAAACCTGGTGAATCTATTTTTTAAATAAGCTCCTATAGGAGTCATTCACCCTTAACCATAGATTTTAATGTGTTCTTAATTGGTATTGAAAACAAGGTAAACACCTTTCAAATCCTGTTAAAATCAAGGCTCCTCTAATTCTAAATCAAGCTGAGATTTTTATTTCAGTTGAGCCCTATCTAATGTGAATGGCTTCTGACTAAAAGCAATTAGAGGATTAGGAAAAGATAAGCAACAAAATGGTGTGCTGAAGTGGCTCTGATTAATTAGGAACTTGTTTTATGTGAGGTCTTGGAAGAGGCAGGAAAAGGAGCAGAAACTCTGGTGCAAGGGAGACTTGAGTTAGTTCAGGCAGAAACACTCAAGAGTTGGATGAAGGTACTGACAGGAAGCACAGAAGGATCTGACCGGAGAGAAATCATGGCGGGTCTGGCAGGGGCCACCCTGAGTTGAAGGAGAGGCAGCCTGACTCCCTCCACAGGATAAGCCCGATGCTGGCTTCACGCAGAAATCAGGAAGGTCATGGGGAGAGACAGTTACAAACAGCCTCTGCCTCCTTTATTTCAGGTAGCTATACCTTAGGGTATATCAGATCTAGAACATTCTGCTTCTGTGGGAAACTCAATCCATCAGGCTATAAGTGTCATCAAGGGTGACTAAGTTAATCATCCAGAAACTGAGGTCAGTCACGGAGGCAGACCTGTCGTCCGGGGTATGACAGGCTACCTTTGGTCCCCACCCTGCCTCCTAATTCGTGAGCTGAAGTCCTAGCCCTCAGTATCTCAGAATGTGCCTGTATTTGGAGACAGGGTCCCTGCAGATGTAATTAAGTTAAAATGAAGTCATTGGGGTGAAGCCCAGTCCAACAGGACGAGTGTCTTTGTAAGAAGAGCACATGTAGAGACGTGCAGAGAGAGAGGACCGCGTGAAGACACAGGGAGTGGACGGCCATCGACAAGCCAGAGACAGAGACAGGGAACAGATCCTTCCCTCGTGGCCTGCCAGTGGCCTCAGACTGCTCACCTCCAAGCTGTGAGACACGTTCTACTGCGTAAGCCACCCCGTCAGTGGTGCTGTTCCGGCAGCCCTAGCCAGGTTACCCTGCAGGAGGCAGGCGGCTCCTCTGGGCTCCTCTGCACAGCAAGCTGAGGGCCACGGGCTAGGAGTAACAGGCACTTCTACACTGAGTCCCAGACGGAACTGGAACTGCACATGGCTCCTGACCTGACCTCTACACAGGGGTGCTGAGTGAAAGCACGCTTCAGTGCTCCATGCTTTTTAACAGGGCTGGGAATCCAGAAGGGTCCAGACGTACCAGAGATACGTTTACCCTAAAGGTACCCACATAGTGGGCCCACCACAAGTGCCCGTGGTGACTTTAGACTGGTTTAATCAAAGTTCCTTAAATAATGCTACACTTTATAGCTGGCAGGGGAGAATTTAGAAACATTTTTCTTTAGAAATGAAAAAAAATCCAAAGGTGAAATAATTTGCCTTAGCAACACAGCTTCTTGGTGGTGACTTGGATACCCAGAAAAGAGCATTTCCTATCCCATGTGAAAGCTACTCCTATACACACATGGAACAAAAATCAGAACAGCTCCACCCAGGAGGAAGTCTCGAACGCAGCCTTGCTACAGCTGGGAGCCTTCAGAAACCTGGGCGGTCCCTACCAACTCAGAAAACCATTTTCAGAGAGTGAATGCTTATACAAGCCTGAGAGGGGCCTTAGCACAGGAACGAGGATTGCTGAAAATCCCAGTATCACGTCTATATTTAAAAACTACCCAAATATGTTCATGGGCTTGAGGAGAAAAGGCATCCATCCACAAGGTATGATTTGGAGGAAAACACATTCCTCTCAAAATTATCTCCCCTACCAAGCCTATCCCAGGGCTAAAATTCTCAGCTGTGTTTACAGATGATTCCATTTAACTTATAAAAATAAACATATGTGTCTCTTGGAAGGAAAACACCCGTTAAGACCCATGATCATATCATATATGGCTAGTGCATTGGGTTTGCTTGCACCTGTAGGCTCCCAGGAAATGGAACTCAGGAGAGGCAGGGGATGAGAGGAAGGAAAGATGAATTCAGGCCTGGAGCGACTCTCAGGGGAAAGCAGGGTCCGAGAGACACACGATGACCAAACTCGGCCAACACTTTATGTCAACACTTTTGACATAAAGACCAGACGCGGGTTAGGAAAGGCCATGGTGTACTGGCCTGGAAGGGGGAGCACCAAGCTGCAAAAGTGAGTCTGAGGGCCCGAGTTTGCCTGTGCTGGACAGTTTTATCTAGCGGTGGCCTGGCTTTTAGCACATCAACCAAAGAGCTTGCATGAGTAGTGGTGCCCCCTCAGTATTCATCATGCGAGAATCCTTCTGAGCTGTCCAGGGTCCTGAAGACTTAACCAATTCCTTGGAGAACTTCGGGAGGTCTGCCTTCAAGTGCCTATAACTGTAAACTGATATTCTCCTTCTGACACAGTGAAGAGAATGGATAATATTTAAGGAAACTAAACAAATCTTACTACCACTTCTTCTGATGCCTCTACATACAAGTGAAATGCTTTACTTAGCCATGAACTTTTTACTCCACTAAGAAATCAAAATGTATTCTTTCAAATTCTTCTGCTACATTTTTATACTGCTTGAAATTTCCTGCAGAGACAGGTATAAAAATGCTTTATGAGTCAACCTGACTTCCATCTCAGAGCAGAAAGTGATGACTCAAGAGGGATTGTGTATTTCTTGATTATCTGCTCTTTTTTTTTTAAATTGAGGTAAATAATACAAACCTCCTCTTCTTCCCAGTCTATCAAATCCCAGTCATAAGCAATTACTGCTCTCCGTCTTTTCCAAAACTCCAGAAAAACTGTCGCTGGAACAAGCAGAGAAAGACAGACATTTTCAAATAAAAAAATGCCTTGAACTGTGTCAGTAGATAATGAAGCCATTGTAAAGAATGACAGCTGTTTGTGTAAGCATTCTTAAATATCAGAATTTCTAGCTAAACATCATTTAACAAAGATCATTTGCTGAGAATTACTAAGCTTGTGTCAAACATAATGAAAACACAAGAGATTTAAATTAAGCTTATTTGCAAGTCATAGCAGAACAGACTTATTAGAATGACAAAGCTTCTGGGATATAAGAATACAGAAAACTAGGTTACCAATATCTTTCTAGGTGATAGAGTATTTAACAACTTATTGACCAGACATGTATTAATACATCTTTTGTTACCTGAACATTGTTGACTGGAGACGTATCAATAATCGCTTACATAACAAATCACTGAAAAAGGAAATGGCAACCCACTCCAGTATTCTCGCCTGGAGAATCCCATGGACAGAGGAGCTGGCAGGCTACGGTCTGTGGGGTTGCAAGAGTCAGACACGACTTAGCAACTAAACTACTACTACTAACAAATTGCCAGCCACAGGCGTTAGTTTCTACAAAAATCCCCTGGTCAATAATGTGTTAAAAAGCGAGGGACAGAAAAGCAAAAACAAAACTTAGCAGTTCACATGTATTTAATTGGCAGAGATTTCTCTTTCCCCCAATCATCCTCAGGACAGATGTCCTCATATTGAAGGCAAAGTGGGTAAATTGTATTAAAAAACCTTTTCCAACCTGTTCCAACCATTTACAACCTTTGCCTCTACTACGCAGGTAAAGCTGATGGTGATCCTCATTTAGCCAAAGTAACTTTACACTCAGTTCAGTTTAAATATATCAACACAAATGAATTGCTGAGCATTATAAAATGACAGGTCAAAAATGATCAAGACATGTCCCTGTTGCCTAGGAAGCCACAAGCCAGAAGAGGGGACACATACACACACTGACTCACTCACTCAGAGGATGGCTGCAACTAAGAATCACACAGAGACACCCTAGGAGAGGGAATTGGCAGATCCATCTCTACGGGGTCTTGCTGTGTAATCAGATTAGATAAAGGGGAAAATATGTCAATATCCTATGTCTGGAATCAGTTTCATGGAGAAAAGTAAACATCCAAATGTTCATTCCAAAGAGAGATAATGACTTCCTTCTTTTCTGCTCCCCTTTGCCCTTAGTTCAGTTCAGTCACCCAGTCGTGTCCGACTCTTTGCGACCCCACTGACTGTAGCATCCCAGGGTTCCCTGTCCATCACTAATCCCTAGAGCTTGCTCAAACTCATGTCCATCGAGTTGGTGATGCCATCCAACTATCTCATCCTCTGCCATCCCCTTCTCCTCCTGCCTTCAATGTTTCCCAGCATCTTTCCTCATTAGTGGAAAGATTCCTCATTATTCAGACATAGAACACATATTTAAAAATAAGCAAGTGGAAAGATATTATAGGGTAACAGTCAAGAGCTCTCTCGCTTGTGACTTAGACATTCTTAGACTTGAAATCTAGTTCAGATACAAGCTGTGCTACTACTGGCAAATGAATTAACATTTCTAATTCTCAGTATCCTGCTAAGCAAATGAAAGAGGGCAATATAATCCCTATTTGCAATGGCAAAATTAAAAATGCTCTAAACGTTTTAAGTTTTTCTTCCCAAGTCTGGCACAAATTCATCATGTGGCAAGCTGTGACTTTGACTGAGGTGAGGCTACTCAAAGTCTTTGTTAATCCATCTTAGACTAACAAGTGTGACCAAAGCATAAGTGAGCTGTAGGACAATATTGAGTGGTCTAACACATAACTGAAATAATAACATGATTCTGGAAAGTTTTCTAAAAACACGCAAGATCTGTACACTGGAAATTATATAACATTGCCTAAATAAATTATGGAACAATTAAATAAATGAGCTAAATGACATTCATGGATAGAAATATTTGATATTAAATCTTCAGTATTCCCAAACTGATTTACTGCTTCAACTCAACTGCAATCAGATATTAGCATTTTGGAGGGGGTAGAAGTTGACAAGGTAATTCCACAACTTATATGGAAATGCAAAGGACCTAAAGTCGACCAAACAATTTAAAAAGAGTAAGTTTTTGAGGCTTACTATTATACTATAATAATCAAGAGAGGATGTTATTATATAAAAGTACATGTACAGATCAAACAGAAAAATTTCCAGGTTTAGACCCACACATGGTCAATTGATTTTCAACCAAAAAACAGCAAGAAAAATCAAGTAAGAAAAGGATAATCTTCCAGCAAGTAGTACAGGAAAAACCGGATACCCACATACACAAAGAAATGGATCTGACCCATACCTTACACCATACACCAAAATCACCCTGAGATAACTCATGGGCCTAAACATATGATCTAAAACTATACGTTCTCTAGAAGAAAATATAGAAGAAAATCTTAGGACTCTTGAATTGGCAAAGATTTCTTAAATAGAAATCACAGAATAAAAGAAAAAACTAATTTGGAGTATATTGGAAGTAAAAATTCTTACTTTTTAAAAGATAGCGTTAAGAATATAAAAGTGAAAATCACAAGCTGGAAAAATATTTGCGAACATATTTTTGCTAAAGGACTTCGATCCAGATTAAATAAATAACTCTTTTAAATATAAGAAGATAGTAACATATGGGCATTTGAACGAACACTTCAGTAAAGATGTGTAGATTGCAAACAAGTTCATGGAAAGATGCTCAACATCAGTAGACATCAGGGAAATGCAAATTAAAACCACAATGGGATAACACTATATATCCACTATGATGATAAAGACTATTAATTTCACAAGTTTGTAAGGATGCAGAACACCTGCAGTGCTCATATAATGCTGTTGGGAATGCACAGTTGCATAGCTACAATTTTTTTTTTAAATAAAGTTAGACATTCTCTTATTCTATGATCAGGAATGCTACTCTCAGTTATTTTTCCAGGAGAAATAGATACAAAGACTTTTATACAAAATGTGCAGAGAAGTTTATAAGAGCCATTAAGTCTTAGATGAATAAAAGCTGGATTGAATCCAAACACTTACTAACATTTGGATAAACAAATGAATCAAATGAATAAATTTCAGTATACCTCAGGCAAGCGAATATTATTCTGTATTAAAAAGAACAAATTACACACATATGCAACAACATGTATGAATCTCAACAGCATTAATCTTAGTGGAAGAAACAAAATGCTAAATACTGAAAGATTCTATTTGTATGAAATTCTAGAACAGATGAAACTACAATGACAGAAAGCATGTTGGAGGTTGCCAAGGGGCTGACTTCAGAGGCCCTTGGCATGAGGAAACTTTCTGGAGGATGAAATGTTTTATGTCATCATTATGGCAACAGTTACATGACTATATACAATTTGACATGACTTGTCAAAATGTACACCTAAAATCACTGGATTTTATTTTATGTAAATTATACCTAACCAAAGCTGACAAAAACATTTCATGATTCTGTCACCCAGAGAAAACCACCATTAATATATTACAAAATAGCTTTGTTTAGCTCATAGGGAACATCTTGACCAGGCCCCCCAGTGAATTACTGCAGGAAAGAAGAAATTAACACACTCCCCTCCAGAGTCTGGCCAGAACCAGGAAATACCTGTAACGACTTATAGGACTTACAGCCTCTTTTACTTTACCTCCTCACTTCCCCCACTTGGTTCTAAAAATGAAAGTGGCATCCAAACCCAGGCAGATACTTCTCTAAGACACTAGTCAACTATCTCCTCAGTCTGCTGGCTTTTCAAATAAAGCCTCTGTGCTGTGCTTAGTCATATGGTCATGTCCGACTTTTTGCAATCTACGGACTGCAGCCCACCAGGTTCCTCTGTCTGTGGGGATTCTCCAGGCAAGAATACTGGAGCAGGTTGCCATCCCCTCCTCCAGAGGAATCTTCCCAACCCAGGCACTAAACTCAGTCTCCTGTGTTGCAGGTGGATTCTGTACTGGCTGAGCCATGAGGTAAGCCCAAGAATCCTGGAGTGGGTAGCCTATTGCTTCTCCAGGGGATCTTCCCAACCCATGAATCGAACTGGAGTCTCCTGCACTGCAGGCAGATGTTTTTAACAGCTGAGCTATCAGGGAAGCCCGAAGTCGCTGTTCCTTACCCCAAGAACTCATTTCTTAATTTAATGGCCCGTTGAGCAGTAGGAATTTGATGATGCTGTGAAAGTGCTGCACTCAATATGCCAGAAAATTTGGAAAACTCAGCAGTGGCCACAGGACTGGAAAAGGTCACTTTTCATTCCAATCCCTAAGAAAGGCAATGCCAAAGAATGCTCAAACTACCGCACAATTGCTTTCATCTCACACACTAGTAAAGTAATGCTCAAAATTCTTCAAGCCGGGCTTCAACAATATGTGAACCATGAACTTCCAGATGTTCATGGTGCATTTGGAAAAGGCAGAGGAACCAGGGATCAAATTGCCAATATCCATTGGATCATTGAAAAAGCAAGAGTTTGAAAAAAGCATCTAATTCTGCTTTATTGACTATGCAAAATCTTTTGACTCTGTGGATCACAGCAAACTGGAAAATTCTTCAAGAGATGAGAATGCCAGACTACCTTATCTACCTCCCAAGAAATCTGTATGCAGGTCAAGAAGCAACAGTTAGAACCAGACATGGAACAACAGACTGGTTCCAAATTGGGAAAGGAGTAGGTCAAGGCTGTATATTGTCACCCTGCTTATTTAACTTATATGCAGAGTACATCATGANGAAATACTGAAGGTGAGAGGAGAAGGGGATGACAGAGGATGAGATGGTTGGATGGCATCACCAACTCAATGGACATGAGTTTGAATAAACTCCGGGAGCTGGTGATGGACAGGGAGTCCTGGCGTGCTGCAGTCCATGGGGTCGCAAAAAGTCAGACATGACTGAGTGACTGAACTGAACTGAGCAGTGAGCAGTAGGAACTTGGACACAGTAACACTCACATACCCA